GTAATATATACATTTCAAAATATACTAAAATATGAACACTTTGATTACCTTCAAGTTGTTGTTCAATTTTAACAAAATTTGATATAAACATATAAAGTGATATGAACTTTCAATCTAACGGTTGGATTTACAAAATTCACATTTAATATAAAGTTATTGAGAGGTATAATACTTAGTAAAAGTTACACCGGTGTTATTATAATCCTTCTCATTTTAAAATATATAAATTATTATTTAAACTTTTAAATTTATAATAAATAATTTAAATTGTATCATAATATTAATTTTAAATATAAATAAGTAGATTGTTAATTATAAAAGTAAGTATATATATAAATAAAGATTAATTAAATATAATATAATTATTATTATTGGTAATATAATTATTATATATATTATTACATTTTTATAATGGTCCGCATACATCGAAATAAGATGGATCTAAAGATAGTATAAATGTGAGATTGTATAGTTGAAGATGACTTAAATGAATTAATTTGTACTACCTATACTAACAACATGCATCTGTTTTTCTGTAGCTTATTTCATCAGAACTCCACAGTTAAGCGTGCTTGACTTGGAATAATATAGGAATGGGTGACCTTCTAGGAAGTATCCCAGAAACTGTGCAGTAAGGGCAAAACACGCCGAAAAGTAAAGTGTCGTGAAATAGAATCTTTGAGAGGTCAAATATGAGGGTTGTTATATTAATAAATTTATTAAAATTAAACAATTTTTTTTCGACATTTCCGACGGAAAAATTCGTCGAAAATTTCTGAAGGATTAAATTTTTCTGACGGATTAAAGCATCTCCTATCTTTAGCTCTTGAAACTTCATTACTTTATCACTTTCAATTATACTTTCCCATCGAGTTTGAGACTAAGATTTTATAGAAAATTTGCATATATTATTGTGTAAATTTTTTCATCATTTGATAGATGAAGCAAATAAAGAATAAATACATTGTAAAAATTAAAAAAAAATCTACTAAATGAATTCGTCATATCATATAAAACTAAACTCAATTATGGTATCCACATGATGTATAAATGCTTTTGAATTTATATCTAATACTCTCTTTTACACTCCTTGATTTTTATCTTTCCTATTAGATTTGTTGTCGTAACCTCTTCTCTCATATCAACAACTAGTATTTTATCCATTGACTTGTGAGGCCTAAGTAAAATTATATTTTTGGATTCACCTTTTCTAACCACTTTAGTTGATATATATAGATAAAATTGTTGCATGTTGGTGCAAAATAGAGATTTTGTCTAAGTTAAATATTTTGATTATATTTAACATGTGTACAAATAACAATTTACACAACTATTATCTCTCAAATATTGTATCTCAACTACACACACTATAAGCTCAAGCCCTATGTAAGCCATGGTAAAATTAAGAGGAAGACCAAAATTAAATATATTGCATCCCAATATCAATCAGAAAAGTTGAATCTAGGCAGACACACACATATATCTTGGATCGAATTCTAAGACCGTTTCTCCTTTGAGTGGGTCATTTTTCATAAAAGGGTTCCAAACAGGAAAAACAAAAATTGTTCAAGGAGATATACTTTTTTTTTATAGGATTGACCTCTATATAAAAATAAAGTGATATCTCCCATCACGATATATTTCGTATATAAAGTAAGGATATCCTCGGTTAAGGAATATTAAGTGAGTGCATGAGAAACTTTAATGTATCCAAAACCAAACATATAAGGTAACACTTCCTACATAATAAAATATAAAGATACAAATAACTCAACCCCACTAATTTATAGTATAAATATTATTTGAGATGTTTCTATAACAAGTGGAAAACCATGACCGTAAACATTAATTATATTCCAGGGATGGAATTCAAGTTGGACTTCTCATTCATTAGCCAACGTACCGTGTCCATGAAACCACCAATAAAATGAAAAGGACAACCACTTTCTTTTTATTGTTACCTTATGTTTGGTTTTGGATACATTAAAGTTTCTCATGCACTCACTTAATATTCCTTAACCGAGGATATCCTTACTTTATATAGAAATCGTGATCGGATATATCACTTTATTTTAAAAAAATTATATCTCCTTGAACAATTTTTGTTTTTCCTGTTTGGAACCCTTTTATGAAAAATGACCCACTCAAAGTAGAAACGGTCTTAGAATTCGATCCAAGATATATGTGTGTCTGCCTAGATTCAACTTTTCTGATTGATATTGGGATGCAATATATTTAATTTTGGTCTTCCTCTTAATTTTACTATGGCTTACATAGGGCTTGTAAAAGGTTATACTGTACTTAATTATTTCTCGAATTCAACCTTCACTCTGCAGGAAATATCCAAAGCCAAGTTCCTTAGTGTGAGTGACTGAGTGGGAACTCAATAATCAGTATAACCAATTGCTTAATATATGAGCTCAGTCTGGCAGAAGAGGCTGATGAAATTTGCAACGTCAGTTTGACTAAGTTTTGTGGAAACAGAAAAAGTTGGATCAAATACGACTGCTAGCTAATGCAGGCATGCAAATGGAATTATGGAAAATTGGAAATAGCCTAGCAGGTTCCAGCAAGTACATATTAAATTAATCTTTATTATATATCTTTTGGTCTCAAATTAATTAGTACTACATCATTCTTAACATTTTTATTTTTATTTTATGCGTATCAAAAGGATAATTATAAACATATTGAATTTATGGGGTGATTTTGATTATAAAACTAGTAAAATAATTCTTCTATTTGTATCACGGAGTTTATATAATTTTAATCTCTGCAGTCTATATTTTTTTTGTTTTCTCTTTTATCTTCACCAGGTAATATCATTAGCACGTTGGCACATATATAATCCTTGCGTGTTGCATCATGAGCAACCAGCATTACTTTAAAAATATATAATCAGCAACTTCTTTTATTCTGCTTGAAACTGTAATCACCAACTCGTCTTTTAGCAGTTGATTTCGATGCCCAGTAAAAATTATTCTTACGAGGTTTCATTTGTTCTAGCCACTTAGTTGTACGTAATGTAGATAAAGTTGTAGCATGTTGCTGCAAAGTAGAGATTCTGCCTAAGGCATAATATTATGATATTATATTTATATAAAAAACACAGAGTACACATACCATTGTCTCTCAAATACTGTATCTCAAGTAACCCACACACATATTACATATTCTCCCTCAGCTCAGTTTCTGCAACTACGTTCTTATTAGTATAACTTTTGCTGAAAACCATCTCCATCTCTTCCAAGGCCCTGCCCTTGGTTTCGGGTAGGAAAAAGTAGAAGAACATCATAGCTAATATAGATATACCAGCAAACATGAAAAAGGCTCCCCCTATGGTGATTGTTTTATAGATTGAAATAAAACTCATAGAAACAGCAGCATTCATGACTCTATTCACTGCAACTCCTATACTTGCTCCTTGTGCTCTCAGCTTCAAAGGAAAAATCTCTGTGCTATACACCCATGTGACAGGTCCAAGCCCAATATTAAAAGAGGCCACGAATGTGTAAGTAGCTACTATGCTAAGTGCCAAGGCCCATAAAAGCTTTTCCTGAGAAATATGCACCATGGTCAAGCTGAATCCTAACACTGTAAGACTACAGACCATTCCTCCAGTGCTTATAAGTAAGAGACGTCTTCTTCCAACTTTGTCTAACAAAAATGAGGCTATTATCAAGAAAAATATTTTTGTAAGGCCTACTCCAATAGTTGTAAGCAAGAGCTTGTCCTTAGTGGTAACACCTGCTTTTTTAAAGATTCTTGGACTATATAGCATCACAGCTTCTATTCCAGTTGCATGTTCAAAAAAGTGAATTCCCACAGCTGCAATCAGCATCCAACGAACAGATTGAGAGGGTCGCACAATTAACTCTTTCCAAACCTCTTCACCATGGTTTTTTTTAGGGAATTTAACCATTTCCTCTGGACAATTCTCGTCGATCCCAGCAGCAAGCTTTATATCCTTAAATCGAAGTTCAGCTTCTTGTTCTGTATTTGAAACTTGCAACAAAACTTTCTTGGCTTTTCCTAAATGGCCATGCATCACCAACCACCTCGGTGACTCAGGCATTGTTAGAATGCCCAAAGCCAAAGCAATTGAAGGAACTATTGCAATACCAAGCATCAATCTCCACCCAATCTTCAAAGTTAGTTTTCCTAAAAAATAGTTTGCCAGGTAACCAAGTAAAATTCCGATACCAATACAAAGCTCGGGTAAAGATGTTAGAAAACCTCGAGATTTAGCTGAGGAAATTTCTGCTGAATAAACTGGCGCTATCAAAAGAGCAAAACCCACACCAATACCAGCAACACACCTTCCCAACATCAGAATTGTGTAGTTTGGACCATATCCCATGAGAAGGGAACCAACCATGAAAAGGATAGAGGCTAAAGCAATCGTGTAGCGTCGGCCAATGTAATCAGAAGTTCTTCCAGCAGCTAAAGAACCTACTAATGCACAAAGGTTTAAGATTCCTGCTAGAACTTCTTGTTGGGTGTCACTGATTCCAAACTCCTCCTTTATGAATATCATGGCTCCACTCATAACACCGGTATCTAAAATCATATATCAAAAATTTTAGTTAGGCATGCATTTACCAAAAATAAGTACATATATAATTTAAGAAGAATATTATCACAAGATATTAAGATACGGCCGATTAAGAAAATAAAAAGATTAATTTATAAGAAATCTATATATATCCTTAGATCATATAAGGTTTTGTACGTAATGTTAGAAGATGTTTCATATTTGTGAGAATTTCACACTTAAATCTCATGCTATAAATAAAGTTTAGTACTCCTTTTTTTTTTCTTCATGTTAAATCTTCTTTTCTTCTCTTTATGTACTTTGAGAGTTTTTCTAGGTAGTGATATTCTCTTATTTAATAAGGAGTGAATTTTATAGTTAGGAGTAGTGTAATTTTCTCTTTCAATAAAGCTTTTTTATTGTTTGTTGTCTCTTTTTTACTTTTATTTTCTTCTAGTACCCAACATAAAATATGATGTGATAAGAATAGAACTAAAGAAAAAAAATGAAAGGTGTTTGAGTATTACAAATATAACAAAATAATATATATATATATATATATATATATATATAATATTTGCATATATACTAGAATGGGGCGTTCCTTAATTGGAACAGGCCGTTCCAAACTACTAAAACAAGGATGATTTAGTAGTCCAGAACGGGTCGTTCCCAAACTGGAACAGGTCGTTCTAAAGTACTAAATAGGCCTATAAACTATATATATATATATATATATATATATATATATATATATATATACGCAGATTCTGTTAACAATAAAGAACGTTAAAATGTATATGCAGTTTCTATTAACAATAAATAACGTTAAACATAAACACAAATTTCGAATATATCACTATAACAAATCTATATCTTGTTTTGCAGAGAGAACAAAAAAGTAGAAATTGAATTATATAAAGAGAAGAACAAGGGCAGGGGGGAAGAGTAAGATGGAATTGAATATTACCATATCCAAATATAATGGATATCATGGAAGCCACTACTGCACATGCAAAAGCATATTTATTGAACTGGTCTTTTTCACCACCTATCTCCATGCTAGACATGTAATCTATGAAGGTTTTTTCTCTCGTGTCTTAAACCGGAACACGAAAGTCTTAGCGGTAGTTAAAACCACAACGATATACATATTCATGGCCTGTTTATATAGTAGCGGAAGATGCCAATGTGGCTCTACTACTTACTGGGTAAACAGTGAAAGTTTGGTCTGGTGGGTCTCACCACTCTGAACAGGTATGGACCCCTTGATACTTGATACTATGCCATTGGAATTATTAAGGTGTAGAAATAATATAAGATAATAAGATATTATAAAATAAAGTAAATTAATTTGTACAGTCATTTATTTTAAAAATCATATTTAGGGTCTGTTTCAGCTGTGAGCATAATTAGAAGGCCAACCACCAACGAAGGTTGGTCCAATAACCTCCGTTACTAAGAAACAAACTCATTTAAAAAAAACAAAAAAAAATGAGTTCGCTTTCTGCTATTAATGTGAAAACTATATTAACGGATAAGTATTTTTCTAAGTCCTTATGAAATCTTAAAATTTGTTCTCACTCTTGAAAAAACTTCTAAAATCCAACCAACTTAAACTTTTGTATATATAAAAAAAAATTTAGAAGGCCATGCAGCCCTGCTCGATAAGGACCCCCCTAATGGGATTGTCTCCCCAATGCCTACTGTATATATACCTGATTCATCTCCAATATATTCTCCATAGAAGTTCATCCTCAAATTAGTGTCCACTTGACATTTAATCCTTGAAACCACGCAGTCACCAGTGTCGCAAACATGAACATTGCGTCGGAGGACTAACGTATAAATCTATAAGTGATTTCATGAGCATAAATGACAAGGTGACGAGACGATGAAGAGTTACCGAACACGTCACCTAATTCTCTATAAATATCTCACTACCCTTCATCACGTACACACAATTTCTACAAACAATATTGTTACACTAATTTGAAATCTGTGTTTCTGTAAGTATGCTCCCTCTAACACAAAGATTTCCTTTGACATCGTTTGGAGTCGAGTCCTAGGAGAGGCTTCCTGTACGTAATAGCAATATAGTTCAAAATAAAATGATTTCTAATCGGCTGAAAGTAGTATTGTAACAAAAAATATATTGAAAGTGAATGAAAAAAGCCTGTGTATAAATTCATATTTACATAATTTATATTTTTTTTGTGTTTTTTTGGACAAAATTTATAGTTTTTGTTTAAAAATTATATTAATAAAACTAATTAAATACTAAATATTTAGTGAATGACAACGATATATATATATATTGCATAGTGTGACTTACAAGATAGAAGAACCTGCCTCAGTACTTCCGATATTCCACCGCAAACAAAGGAGCTTTTGGATAATGTTTCCAAATAGGTCAACGAGGCAACACTTATTGGTAGATCATTATAGCACTTTCCCCATAATGGGTGTTCATAGGCTCAGCAAAAGAGACCTCGCATATTTCTGGAGCCAAAATAATTGTAGTTTGAAACTTAATTTCGCACTAGGTAACTGAATTTTTGTCCAAATCCGATGGCTTATTTACGCAAACACAAATTCATAAAGGGAAACTGGCGAGAACTTTCCATACTAAAGGTGTGATGTGTTTGGGGGTTGCTACTGTACCCCCGATAAATGAGGAGTTTTGGTACTGTATCTAATGTGTATGTACACATCATTTAGTCCCAAATATTATTTATTTTTAAGTTTTTATTAATATTTTTGAGCACCGTGATCTCTCCTCTCCCCTCCGTCTCCCTCCTGTACTCCCACCTCTCTCCCGCCCCTCCCTCCTTTCCCGCCCTGTTGAGCTCTTTACCGTTGACGCTGCCACCAACCCCCTCGACGAGCTTGAATTCATGGACGAAACCCACACCCCTCCCTTCCGCCTCTGCCTCAACCCCTCCCGCTACTTCTTCGACTCCCTCGCCACAGCCATTTGCCGCTCCTTCCTCCCCTCCTCCTCCGCCCTCCACTACTCCCTCCTCTCCGGTCACAATCGTCATTCTCCGCCGATGAGGTTTTTGCGCACACGTTTCACGCGGGGGTTAGGGTTTTTGCAGCGAAGCCAGCAATCTTGGCCGACTCCATGGAAACAAGCCCGTAAACACTAAACAGAGATAGACGCAGGACAAGAACGAGAGGGAGAGAGAGAATATGGAGAGAGATATCGAAATTCAGAGGAAATTAAGGGAGAATGGTGGTTTGGGATTGGGAGGGATGAGCGGAAGAAAAACTGCATGGGTACGAATGAACCATTTTTTATGTTTTTTGTAATTTATAATTAGAGAGAGAGGAAGGATGTTGAAGAACAATTACTTGAAATGATTGAGTCTCCCTCTCCGCTATGCTCCTCCTTCACGATTCGCCGGCAATCGCGGTTTCCGCCTTTGCTGTCTCGCTCGCCGGCCCACAGAGAGGGAAGAAATAGGAAGCCAGAAAGATTCGGAAAAAAAAAATTAAAAAACGTGAACTTCATACGTAGATATGAATTTTAAATAATTAAAAAATTATAAATAACTTGGATTTACACGTAAGTGACACATCATCAACAGTATCGGTACCTTTCTTTTATAGAGGGTACCGTAGAAATTCTCTTGTCTTAATTCCATTTATTAGTTAAAATTATCGTGTTTTACACATGATGAAAGGAATATATAAATATTAGTATTTGTACTAACCAACAAAAATCGAGTATAGTGGAATATACTTAATTTTCCACAATATGGTAAATTAAGGTTTAAGAAGTTTTCGTATTTAATGTCTTACTATGTTGAACATGGTCACTTTTGAAGAAACATACATGTGAGAAATAAAAAAAATATGTATATTTCTTTTGTAATTTTAATGTTATATGATTTAAAGGATAAAATAGGAGGGATAATCGCATCATCACCGAGATGTGAATCAACCAAGAGTATAAGTTGTTTCATCTGATTAACAAGTTCTCTCTAATTTAAACTTTATAATTTTCTTTCTATATTTAACTATATTAAATACTCAAATAAAAAATTGTTACTCATAATAATATTTTTACCTAATTAGGAAGAATATATTTTTGTAAAGGATACATATAATTTCTATTAAAAAATCTATATCACTTTTTTAATTTTAAAAGTAGAGAGTAAAAGTAATAAAATTTGTATAGAGGCAAAATATATTTTATCCTAATAAAAATTTAAAAAAAAAACCCACAATTAATTATAAATAAAATACTAATTACGTTAAATATATTTCCTATATTTAATGACGCGATCTTCAATCACGAGGGAATGTTTTATTAAATAAAATGAATGTAGAAATAGTTTTGACAAGGGTAAGGCTACATGGACAGGGTTGGAATATTTATAAGTGTGGTGACCAAATATATAAAATAATATTAAAGATGAGGCTTCTTTCATTTTGAAACTTAATTTATAAGATGGGTAATTTTGATTCTATAAATTTAGAATTTTAAAAATTATTTAATGCTGAATATGGTTAGGACAATTTTATACATAGGATTGATTAAAAAGAAGTAAATCAAATATCAGAATTTTGTAGATTCTTAACATATTGAAAATATTGTGAGAATGTATATAATATTTAACATCTACATGAAAGTATAATATTCAGCTTTTAAATATTTAGTATATATATTTAAAATAACGAAAAAGTTTCCACCAAAATAGGTGTATATATTTTAAATTAATTAAGATATTTGGTAATAAGAATCTAGTCTATAACTGGTGAAGGCTTTGTGTTGGTGCTCATGAGGATCACATGTTATATCATCGAAAAAGATGAAGAAATAAGAAGGTTGGCCACGATGTGCGTCTGCTTTTTCATCTGGAATTGATTTTGGTCTTCCATCTTTTATTATGGCTTACGTATGGCTTGTAAAAAGTTACTTAATTATTTCTCTAAACCCATAACTTTGCAGGAAATATCCAAACCCAACTTCCTATAAACAGTTTAACCAATTGCTTTCATACGCTATATGAGCTCAGTTTCGCGGAAGAAGCTAGCTGAAGAAATTTGCAACGTCAGTTTGACTAAGTTTTTGTGGAAGAAACATGAATAGTTAATTAATTGAATTAAGTATTATTACCACTGCCAATGCTTGCAATTGACATAATAAAAAAATGGGATATTTATCTGGTCGTCATTGTGTTGAAGGGATTTTGTGTTCCTTTTACTGTAATCAATACTCTAACATATTTTTTAAACATGTAATTTTTAATTGATTAAAATTTATTAAAAATATATAATTTAGTGGATTTCATATTTTATTTAATAATTATCTCTTTTAATTTTATATTTTTTAATAAATTTTAATTAATAAGAATAAGTGTATCAAGAAAAATGTATTATTAGCACTTTTCTAATCATTACCACTATGTAGATTTTTTTTTTTCATGTTCATATTTTAAAACATGAGTGTAGTGTTGAGAGATAAAAGTTTCATGTCATGGTGGGTTTACTTTATGGGTCCCACACATAGACTACAAATAAAGTGTTGTGGTCCTCTAGATGAACATCCCAAATGTTTTCTCCTTTTTTTATATATATTTTATTTGTTTATTTTGAGAGTTTTTTCTCAATAAAAGTATTCTCTAATTTTCTATGGTGTTTCATTTCTCTTCTAAAATGTAGAGAGGAATAATTGTAATTTATGTCACTTACTGAAGTTTCTCTTTTTGTCTATTTTTTTTCTTCTTATTTTATCGTCTATTATTTTATTATGAATTATAATTCTGTTACTTTAGTATCCAGTAGTAGTCTAAAGAGTCTAGGAGACCATAAGACTTTATTTACGGCATATGTGTGCAATCTCACAAAATAAATCCATTGTGAGACTTTTATTTCTTAACATGAGGTTGCACATCTAACATATGTGTCAACTCACTATTAGTTATTAGCGTAGCAGGTTCCGGCAAGTGGACAAACACAAGCTTGACATACTAAGGTTTAAGCCACTCTAGAGTTGAAAAATAGGATAATAAAAAAGTTAAATAGAATTCCGTGCGTGATGATCAGCAGGATATTTGAATAGTTTCCTATTCCCAATAGTAAGAAAACTCATTTAATTAAATGACTAATTAAGGAGAAAATATTGATTTGATATGGAAGCTTATAAAAGATCTATATCTATAAAAAGTAGTGAAATAATCTAATCAGTAAAGAATAGATTCATGTTCTATAAAAACGTGTATTTCTAATATGACATGCCTATGAGGAGTTGTACAACAAAAATGTTGTATTTGAAGATCTTCCTTTATGAATATCAGTGCTCCATCCATCTCCACCATAACTAAAGAATAAATATTTATTAGCCTGATTTTGTTTGATCAATGCAAAAATTACAAGCAAACTATTCTACGTAATGTAGTGTGATTATCTAAGGCTCCCAATCATGCTTAAGACTACAGCAGCAGAACATGTATGTAACCCATGGCTTACATTGTAAAAATATATATAAAAAAATAAAGATATTAATAAATAAAAAATTATAGATAATTGATAGTCCTACAGTATCTAATATTGAGCTAGACTAAAGCTGGTACGGTCAGATGTGGACGATGTCCGAAACACAAATTATTTAAAAAATCATAAAATATTTGCTTATATTGAGTGATAGAGAGAGAGAAAAGAAATATAGAAAATTTTTAAAATGTGTAACATTCTCTTTATTTAATTGTAATACAAAGTCACTTATTTATTGAACAAAGATAACTATAACAAACTAACTACTCAAGAGTCAACTTTACAACCACTCTGTTTAGAGTTCACTCACATAACTTATAATAAAATACTCTTAATATAAAAGATAACAATAATCATTCTTTGTTGAACGCTCATGATTCTCGTATATATATATATATATAACACTACCCTTAAAAACTACCTATATTGTTGCACACAGGGTTCATTACTGTATCTCTTACTTATTTAGAATTTCCTCCAAAGATACTCACCATATCTTCTAACGATCTTCCTTTAGTTTCGGGCAAAAAGGAATAGTAGAACCACAAAGCCAAAACATTAACACCGGTAAACAAAAAGAAAATGCCACCCATAGTTATCGCTTTGTAAATCGAAATGAAACTTGTAACCACTGCCACAGTCGTAATTCTATTGACAACTACACAGACACCAAGGCCTTGTGCTCTAAACCTAAGGGGAAGTATCTCAGAGCTATAAACCCACGTCACAGGTGCCACTCCAATAGCCATAAAAGCCACAAAGGTGTAGGTAACAACAACAACAACGCTTGACGCCCAAAACAGTTTTTCTTTGGAATGCTCCACTATGGTCAAGAAAACACCCAACCCTAACATGGTCACAACCAAACCACATGCACTAACCAACAAGAGAATCCTCCTCCCAAGTTTATCCGACAAGAAGATCGATATGAAGGAAAACACAACTTTGCTCACTCCAATGCCAACAGTGGCTAGCATGAGCTTGCTCTTGTTAGTGATTCCCGTTCTCTCAAAAACCCTAGGACTGTACAACAAAATAGCAGCACTTCCACCAAGCCTTAGGAACAAATGAAGTCCAATCGCTGCAGTTAGTATCCTACGAACAGGAGGTGAAGCGTCACAAAACAACTCCTTCAAAGCCCCTTTACCGCTACTGGTTTTCTTTGGAACTTGAACAATGTCTAGGGCACAGTTTTCATCTATTCCAACAACACCTTTTATTTCCCTCAACCGTTTTTCAGCTTCTTCCTTAGTGTTAGAAACTAGCAAAAGCACTTTCCTTGCATCACCTATACGTCCTTGCATGACCAACCACCTTGGCGACTCCACCAACTTCAGCATGAGAATGATTAGGGCAAGTGAAGGAACTGTGGGAACAGCCACCATCATTCTCCATCCAAGCCTCAGTGGTAGTTTCTCGAAGAAATAGTTTAAGACATAGCCGAGCAAGAACCCTGAGTTGAGGGAAAGAGCTGGGAGA